CCGGAAGTGGCGCTGTAGCTCAAGTGGTAGAGCGCTAGCCTTGAGCTGAAGAGCTGAGGGACAGCACCCAGGCCCAGAGTTCAGGCCCCATAACCAGACCCAAAAATAAATAAATAAATAAAGGCATCCTTGTGTTCAAGACTGAGGAAGAAAGTAACAGCCACTGGCTTCTGGGAGCTGGCCTTGTATTCTCCTATTGAATACAAACAAGTTCAGGGCGTATCAGCATCACACAAGGCCACTGTGTGACCAAGTGGAGCGATGCAGGAACCGTACCACTCAGTTATCCATCTGAATGCAGACAAAACACAGACATTGTCTGAAGCAAAATACCAAACATCCCCCTCTTTGCCTAAAGGAGAAATAGCTGCTTCTCTGCCAATCACAACTTTCAAACAAATGATCTAGCTCTCCCATGCCCCATCCTGGACTCTCCCTCCATTCATTACATGCCATGAGACCTCTCTTCTTCAGCTCCACCATAGCACCACCCAACACATCCAACCACAATCATATTCCCGGGAATTGTTGGGAGGAGGGCATGGACAAGCTCCATTTCTAAAACCAAAAGAGACAAGAAAGGCTGAAAGAATTTCTATCCTCTAGGTACTTCACAAAATTCTGATACAAACAAACACATTTCTATGAGTCTATATTCTCATATTGTTGGTCTTCTGGCAAAAAGAGAGAGTGAGAGAGAGAGAAAGAGAGAGAGAGAGAGAGAGAGAGAGACTCTTCCATTCTTTCTCCAGGAAAAGTTACACTGTGAGACATAGTGCAAACAGGTGATTATGGTCCATCTGTTACACCATTACTCAAGGCAGAGATGCGTTTCCAAGGAATACGATTGAGCATAGCAGGTCCTTACACAGGCCACCATGAGCCTGGTAGTCTATTATTGTTCTGGATGCTCAAACAGAAAAAGTACTGCAAAAGATTCACTGTTGAAAACACAGAAAGCGGAATGGAAGTGATACAGCATTGACTTTGCTCTAAATTCTTTCTTTTCTCAGATTTTAGATTTACTTGAGGATGATTATCTCTTGATTGTTATTTCCTCATCAAAAGAATAAATCTAGTTTTTGAATGGTCTAGTTTTTACATAGGAAAACTAGGGGAAACTGATACAAAAGCATAAAGACTTAACATTCATTTGTGTAACTCAGTAATTTGGGTGAAATAAGTTTCAAATTATAGAGTACTATTTTCTTTGGAGGCTCTGGGGTTTGAACTCAGAACTTTATGCTTTTATTGAGCTTCTCTGCTTGCCGTGAATTCTACAACTGGAACCCAGGCCTGCCTTTGTTGCCTTATTTTGCAGAAGGAGTCTCATAGACTTTTTGTCCAGGTTGACTTCAAACCATGATCCTCCAGATCACATATTAGAGGCATAGGCCACCAGCCTTTAGCTAGCATACAACTTTTGACATCTTGAAAAATGGCTGCTAACCTTTAAGTATCAATAGTATATTCTGTCACTTCTATTTTTCTTGAAGTTAGAAGCAGAATTTCCTTTTAAATGGATTATTTTTAAATAAACAATACCCATGTAAGAAAACAGTAATAACACTAAGAAGTTGTTATTGTTTACATATTGCTTAAATAATTTTATACTGGTTTTGTGTGTGTGTGTGTGTGTGTGTGTGTGTGTCCTGGGGCTTGAACTCAGGTCCTGGATGCTGTCCTTTAGTTTATTTCCTCAAGCCTAGTGCTCTAATACTTAAGCCACAGCTCCCATTTCTGGCTTTTTGGTGGTTAGTTGGAAATAACAGTCCCGAAGACTTTCTTGCCTGAGCTGGCTTCAAAATGCAATCATCAGATCTAGTCTCCTGAATAGTTAGGATTACATGTGTATGCCACCAGCATCAAATCATATTTGCTATTTCTAATGCTTATAAAATACCAAAGGTAGGGGCTGGGAAGGTGGCTCAGTGGTAGAGTGCTTGCCTCACCTGCATGAGGCCCTGGGTTCAATTCCTCAGTACCACATAAGCAGAAAAAAGCCAGAGTGGTACTATGGCTCAAGTGATAGGGCGTTAGCCTTGAGCTGAAGAGTGAGAGACAGCTCCCAGGCCCAGAATTCAGCCCCCCATGACCAACAAAAAAAAATACCAAAGATATATACATATATATATATGTATATATATATATATATATATATATATATAATCATACCCTTTTCACAGGTAGGTACCTTGTCATGATATGCTTATATAACTTGATATGCCAAGGATATGTGTATGTGTGTGTACATATGTGTGTGTTGTCCATTGTGTAATGCAATTCCTTTTAGGTGAAATTACTTTTAACTCTTAAGATTTCATAGCATTTTAGCAGCTTATTTAATACATGTTTCTGAATGTATGTACAAGCATACACACACACAATCAGAGCTACAGTATTGGCAAAGAATTTTTGAAAAGGATATACCCTTTAAAAATTGTTTTTAAAATATGGTTTAAATATTATAATTATTACATGAAGTGATTCTGTTGTCATCACGTCCCTTGGTACTTTGAGATGAATTTGATCAATTGTCATTCAAAGCTTAAATGTTCTTTAAGACACATTTTTTACATATTTTACAGTCTTGAGTATATTGTTTTGAAGGTGTCCCAGAGACCTCAAAAAAGAAAGTAAAAGGATCTTGAAATGATAGTATAAATTAAAACAAAATGCCTCTCTTCCTTCCCACCCCTTTCTCTCTGTTTCTGTCTTCTTTATTTTTAGATGTTTATCAATTAGCTAATGCTCTATAAAAATGTCCTTGAGTGATAGGAGATTAAGTACAAAAGAACATTCTACCAATGCTTCTGTCTGCCCTGAATTACCCATCTGCCTTTAACTGATTGCAACATTTATCTTCATCCAGTATTTAAAACTGTCATATGTGGATGTGCTTGGTGATGGTGGTTGTTGTTGTTTTTATCAAATGACATGACACCACACAATTACACTACTCTCTTATTTACTGATATAAGAATTCCTTAAAGACCAGAGATTTCCACTTGTTTACTTATTTTTTTTATATCAGGAGACATTTAGTAGAGCCCAAATCTACAATATTGAACCACAATGTAAATTCAGAATGAAAGACACTCATTGGTGAATGATGATTCTTTTTATAATCCACGGCCATCTAACAGTAGAAACCATTTACACGGGGATCGACTCTAATATGCCATCCATATTATTGCTCTTTTATAAAGCATCTCTCTCAGAGGTGGGGCTGGCGGCAACAGTTTACCAGGAGTCAGGCCATAAAGAAAGAAGTGCTGGCACTGGGTGGGGCTGAATAGTTTACATCTCCTTCCAGTCTTGCTGGCTGCTATCATTTCCTTGAAAATCAAGGCTGTGGGGATATATGTCCGTGTAAGAAATCCTACAAGGCTGCGCTGTGGGACCATCCTCCCAAGTCCACTGTGTCTTAATCATTAAAACAGTTCATGTCTGGGGAAAACGGCAGAGGAGCTAAGCAAATCAAAGCAACATCATGCCAGAGAGCAGATTTTTCCCTGTCTTCTCTCCTTAGGAAGAAGACACCTAGCATGGACCCCGGAGGTATTCAGCGTGTCCAGGCATCTCAAGACCATCACCGAGCAAACGCATCTGGCCAGGAATCTGCCTTGGGCTTTACAAATCTCTCTGGAGCCACACTCGGCTTCTCAACCCACTGGCTTCTGAACATAAAAAGCCTCTCTTTGTATCCAGTCAACCTCTGAAGCGTCCATCCATCCACAGCTGCCAGCCTCAATCATCCCTCCACATGCCCAACACACACCCCTGATCGCTGCTCTCACTGTATCCATTACAACCACGCTGCCTTCCTTCCCCATGTCCTCAGCAAGCTGGAGTTTGCACCTGCCTCTTTGAAAAGCATGCTCCAGGACTGCCACCGCCTTTCTGGAAGCCTGAGCTCACAGGCACACGCGCGCGCGCACACAAACACACACACACACACACACACACACACACGCACACACGTTTGAAATGCATGCATTGCTAATGCTGGCAATGTTACCTTCTTGGGTCTTTTTCTTCTCTGACTACCGCCGTTGAACTTCTCTCCACTGTCGCTTTTGGGGGCTGCGTCTTCGTTCATCATTCTCAATAGTTTGGAAAGCAAATAGCTGTGCCATCAAACCCAGCCCGCCTTGCACAGACCACTGGCGAGTGTGTATGTAGTTACTGGAGGAAAAGAGGAGGAGGAGGAGGAGGAGGAGGAGGAG